CTATGCAGCTTCTTTGGGTCCTCTGCTAGTCTCTAATGACATCTAATGAATTGTACCTCTTCTGGCCTTTTCCTGTGCAGAGAAAGTACTAAACTCAGTTGTCAGTAAAGGCTATTACCACAAACACAGACAGCATAAGCCCTTAGTCTTGTCTTAGATGATTAGTTTTTTTCAACTACTTTTCTCCAGCTGTTGCTCTGAATCACATAATCTTGCCATTGGCCATTGCCCATCCCTCTTCACATGGGCCTCACAAAATCCTCACCTGCTTCAAGACACAGCTCATGCACTAACTTCTTAATGATTCTTTTCCTGATCCCTATCCCCTGCTTACTAGTGCCCTCCCCATCTTGTATTTATTCTGTATATACTTATACTCAGTACATACATGCATGCAACACAGACATTGTGCTCCCCAATAGAATGTGAGTACTTTATGAACACGGATTGTATTAGTTGTGTGTTTATATCCCCAGTGCCTAGCACATAGTAGACACATAATAATACTTATTGATTGATAATCTGACTTATGTTCTGAAATTTTGCTAAATCCTGTCATATCCTTTGGTTACTAGCCTGGGTCTACTTCAGATCATCCTGTTGACTCAGCAAAACTGCAGTGGAGCTGAGTGGAGTAGGAGTTGGGAAATTCTTTTTGACACACCCCTTCCCTATAGTAAATAATAGGATGAAATAGTAAATAAAAGATTTTTACTGTAAAAGAAAGTCACATGTAGCTAGAGGAATTCAGGAATAAATACAGGCCTAAGGTTTATGTGCAAATCAACTGAGGAGAAAAACTGAAAAGGTCCAGGTAGAGCTAGTAGCAATCTTTGCCACTATTTTGTACCCATGAACAAAATCACTATACTTGTTATTACTTGTTTTATATCTGTGAAGTTATACAAATATAAGCTAAAAGCGATCTCCTCTTCTCATTTCTATAATCTGAGCCACACAATTTAGTAATTGATTATACTTATTCTTCATTGCTGTTTTATGTCAGTCAATCAAGAGGCATTTATTAAGTGCTTGCTATGTTCCAGGCACTAAGTACTGGACATACAAAGAAGGCAAAAATAGTTCCTGACCTCAAGTAAGCCACCTTCTAAATGAGGGAGATAACATGCAATTATATATTTTATTTATTTTTCATGAGGCAGTTGGGGTTAAGTGACTGCCCAAGGTCACACAGCTAGTGTTAAGTGGCTGAGGTCAGATTTGAACTCAGGTCCTCCTGACGCCAGGGACAGTGCTCTATCCGTTGTACACCTAGCTGCTGCTTGATAATATGCAATTATGTATGCATGTAAGATACAGTGTAAATGGAAGGTAATCTCTGAGGAAATGCAATAGCAGTGGGGTGGGGTTTGGGCAGGGGCAGGAAAAGGCCTTTAGTAGGAGGAACGTTTGAATTGAGTCATGAAGGAAGCCAGGAGGCAGAGGGGAGTTGAGAACGTTCCAGGCATGGAGGCTAGAGATATGTGTCCTGTCTGAAGAACAGCAAATTGGCCAGTGTCATTGGACAGTAGAGTATGTGGAGGGGCGTAAGTCTAAAAAGACTGAAAGGGTAAGAATAAGTCAGGTAATGAAGGCTTCTAAGTGCCAAAGAATATTTTATGTTTGATCCTGGAGGCAATATAGGGAGCCACTAGAGTCTGAGTAGAAGGTTAACATTGTCAGACTTGCTCTTTAACAAAAATCATTTGAACTCTCCCAGCTTTGGTTTCCTCAGTAGAGGAGTGGGGAAAAGACTTGGTCCAAAGAGGCCAACCAGAAAACTATTACAGTAGTCTAGGTTTGAGGTGATGGAGCTCATCAACAGAGTGATGACTATGTGAGTAAAGAGAAGTGGATATATATGAGGGATGTTGTGAGGATAGAAATGACAAGACTTGACAACATTGGGCATATGGGATTGACTACAAGTGAGGAATCAAGTGTGATACTAAGGTTATGAGCCAGTATATCTGGGAGAAAGGTGGAATGATGGTGTCCCTAAGGAAACAGCGAACTTTAAACATGTTAATTTTGAGATAATTAGAGAACATCCCATTCTTAATGCCCGAAAGGAAGTTGGTGACATGAAATTGGAGTCCCAAAAGAAAGATTAGGCCTGTATATATTATATCTGGAAATCATAAAGAGGCAATAATTGAACCAATGAAAATTGATGAAAATACCAAGTAACATAGTATAGAGAGAGAACAGAAGAAAGCATAGAACAGAGCCTTGGAAGACACCACCATTAACAAGCAAGACGTGGATGAAGATCTAGCAAAGGAGCAATTAGACAGGTAGGAGAAGAACAGAGGGCAGTACTATAAAAAAAAAATCTACATGACAACAGTTATATCATTAGATGTATAGTTACATGCTAGGTGATCAAAATTAGTAATGTCATTATGTAGTATTTTAAATTTTGCAAAACACTTTCTTTACATGTAACAGTTTTATGAAGCTGTGAGTGTATTATTATTCCTGTTTTACAGAGAAGGAAAGTTAAGGCTGGGAGAAGTCAAGTGACTTGAACAAAAACTCAGAAATGTCTCCTACTCCCTGGAGAATCAGAAAAAGCAATTAAATATCATTATTATATTCATTTTTTAGGGTTTTTTTTACACATTTTAACACATCAGATATATCCCATCTAATACACAGAGCTCATGTGATACATTCCCCAAAAACATTCAAGCAAAAATGCCTAAAAAAAACATTAAGATTAATATTTTTATTTGCTGCTTTTGTGGTTTACTATTATTAGTTAAGAGAAAGGAAATATGCCTTAATTTGAATAATTTGTTACCAATTGTTGTAGGATAGGCCTGATTCAGGTCAATTTGGTGCTTCAGGTGTGTATGAGAACAAAATAAGATACTCTTGGACCACCTGAATAAAGCTCATTAGCATAAGGCTCTCCTCATTGGTGGAGGTTTCAGTGCCTGCATAAGGGACAAATTAGTGAGAACTTTAGAAAAGAAAGCTTTTACTGACTTCCAGCAGACTCTTGTCAGATCCCTGAAAGGAGAGACACCCTGGGAGGAAGCTAATACATAGAAGATGCTGGCACCTTAATCATCATGTCATTATTATCCGATTATTGCAGTAGAGAATTTTTTCCCGAGTGAGATATAAGACATTCTCTTGATTGAACTGAGTTATCTTGCTCCCAAATGGGAAACCCAGACCAGAAACCAAGCTCTAGAGGACATGCCTGGAACCCTCACTCTGAAAAGATTCCTAATTAATAGCTGCCTTGATCATCTGGGATTGATTCCAGCCCCACTTAACTCTTCCCAGCCATCACATAAACCACCATGGCATATGTACCTGCTTCTTCCTTCTCTCTCTTACCCTGCCCCTTTTCAGTTCTGAAATCATAAATCAAGTCTGTCATTATTCCTTGAAAGAGTATGTCAACTTACTTTCCATTGGACAGACTCTAACTCTCCAAACCAAATTAACATTCCTGGTCAGCACTCTTGTATCGCGTCTCCCTATTAGAATGTAAGGTTCTTGAGGCCAAAGAGCGTATTAGCCCTTGTAAACTGTATCACTAGAGCTTAATACAATATTTGGCAGATAGTAAGCTCTTACTAAATGCTTTTTTATCCTTTCATTCATTCTTGACGAATATAACAGTGTCAAGGAAAACAACTACAAAAGACTTGAGAACTCTGAACAATTTAGTGACCAATAATGACTTCAGAAGACTTTGGCAGAAAAGGGTCCAGAATGAGACATATATTTTCAGTTCTGTTCATTTTGTTGATTTGTTTTGCTTGACTATACTTACTTGTTACAAGGAAGCTTTTCTGTTAGGGAAAGGGGCAGGAAAGTTGGTAGATAGTAATAATGATACAGAAAAGAAAGGAGTGTTAGTAAAACATTAAAAAAGAGGGGAGAAGCAAATTTAGGAGACACTGACAAGCAGGACAATTTATTGCTACTGTGTTAAACATACTGTAATATATTCTTTTAAAAAATCAGCTGTACAACAGAAGTTCATATTTTTACATACAACCATCTTTTCTATTATTTACATGTTGAAATGTTTGTTTTTGTTGATGTCAAGTTTTATAAAGATTTTTTAAACAAAATAGATTTATATCATAATAAATGTAAGTTCGTTGCAGTTAGAAAACTTTTCATTCTTTGTATTTGTATCTATCTATTAGGTACTTAATAAATACTTGTTGATGGATTGATCTAAGGAACCTGTCTACAAATGACACTGCTGAATTTTTCAGTTAGAAAAAAAGGATAGCATATTGCTATAGATTGTTTGATAATAAAATTAGGATGTTTAATGGTCTTCTAAAAAAGTTCAGAGCAGAGATGAGGGTTAGAGGCTCAGATATTTCCATAGCTCTTTCTTCCACCACAGCCATTCTTTTTTTCTTGTTAAGTATGCAGAAAGAAAAGAACCCAATCAAAAGCAGATGTCGTAGAGGGATTCTACTTATGTCCCAACCAAGTGGTACTATCAGTGCTGTGTACCTCTTTTCTTCAGATAATACTTTATATGAGATCTTTCAAATTATTAGGGTGAGAGGCAGCTAGGCGGTGCAGTGGGTAGAGTACCGGGCCTGGAGTCAGGAGGACCTGAGTTCAAATGTGTTCTCAGACCAGACACTTGACACTTACTAGCTGTGTGACCCTGGGAACGTCACTTAACTCCAATTGCCTTGCCAAAAAAATTTAGGGTAAAAAATGCTAACTGGTAAGAATAGGAAGAATGAATCATATATTTTCAGGTAAGATTTTGCCAAAAATGCTAAAGTGCCAAAATGTTAGACAATAAATAGACTTAGTTCCCTAGTTCGTCAGTAATATGTAATTGTCTATCTTTACAACATGGAAATGTGATAAAGGGTTAAAATACTACCAAAATACTTTTATAAAGACAATTATATGTTTTATAGCACATTTTAAGGTATTCTAAATGATGAGAAATGTATTGTAGAAGTTTTTAAACATATCTTATCCTTTCAATACAGGCAGTTCAAGGACCTGTGGAATATGAGTGATGACAAACCCTTTCTATGCACTGCCCCTGGATGTGGCCAGGTAATGTGATCACTTTGTCCGTTTGTGTATAAGCAGGTTGTTTGGGGGTTGAGTAAACATTTAAGAATAGGACTATCCCCCAGAAAATTTCTGGGAAATATGTATCATTTTCATTTAATATGTAGAATAGTCTAGTTTGTGTTGAACATAGTCTAAAGGTATCTACCATCTATGGAAGGAAATGTTCCAAATATTGTAATATACATATTGGTTAAAGCTACTATGCCAAATTGATAGGAAGACATGGACAAGGAAGAGATGAGGGAGTGCCCATAGCTATAAAATTAATTTCATTGAAGCATATCACGATGTTGGGGTAATAAAATGCAATATAATTTTTAAAAATATATGGTCTTACAGAAAAAATGCTGATTTGCTTTGTACTATTGTAGAATTAGTTGGTAATTAACTCATATCCTTAATATACTTGTATTCTCCAAGTCTGCTATATTATAAAGCAAGAAGGCATATTTGGTTGAAAAGTTTCAGAAATTATCAGTTTTTCAAACAAAACTTTTAAACTATTATCCTGTTAATCTAATTATTATTCAATTCATAATGTGAAATATTATAGGAACAGTAAGTTAAAATGAATGTCCAGTGCTCGTGTGTGGTGATGTCAGTGTATATATAGATAAGTACATGTATCTAAATTTGTGTATATACATATACCTATATACATACCAACACACACACATACACATATATATACACACATACACACACGTGTGTGTTTTATAACCTTAGTAAGCATTTATTAAGTGTCTTAATCCTTGGCCTTTCAATATTATTTAACCTGCCTTTTCAAAAGAGACTTCCGTGGTATGATAAGCAGGCTTAGATTATTGCTATATTTCCCCTAACAACCGCTTATAAAATTAAGCTTTTCTATGATTACCATATCTGAAGTAATACAAAGAGGAAATGCTGTTTCTCCCTTTTTTCCTTTTAATGAAAATGGGTATTTTGACTTGGTGCTAGAGGTCAGGCCTCAGAGTCAGAAATATCAGAGGTTCCATCCCAGTCTCAACTCGGTGTGACCCTCAGCAAATTATTTGACCTTTTAATGCCTCAAGCAAATTGGGTCTGTCATATTCCCCTATCCCTTTCTCTGTCCTTCCCACCCTGCCCCCCACCCCCCAAAAAAGGCTGGGGTAGGGAAATAGAATAATGAAGTAATTTTCCACCCTAGGAAATTTTCTCTTTTTCTTCCATTTTCCTTTAAGTAGTCTCCCCCCCCCCGCCCCAGCAGGCTGTATCACATATTAGCATTTTGTAATTTAATACTTCATTATATTCTGAGAGAATAGAAAGAAATTTCCTAAATCCTATGAGATTCTACAAGCTAATCGAATGTTGTGTTAATGTAAATCTCTTACATAAACACATGCTACATAAAGTAGTTATATAGTGTTTCATGTATTGTCATTAACCTCTGGGTACTCCTTGCACTATCATTAATGAAGTACTTGCTATATTCTTAGTATTTTACAGAAAATACTTTTTGTTAAATTTTCTGGAAACATAGAATCCATACCCTGGAAAAGTGTGCTCGTGTGTATCATATTCTAAGTTACTGTTACTAAGTGCCATTCTTCAGTAGAATGTAAGCACTTTGAAGTCAGGGACAGTATTGGTTTCAGTTATTACATTCTCAATACCTGGACAGTGCCTGCTCTTAGAAGGTACTTTATAAATGTTTATTGACTTGAATATTTGTCAGATCCTTCAGTAGAGCCTAGAAGAGTGCAAGTGTTTCATTGGACTTTTTCTCCCAAGTAGTCATAACACCTCAATAGAATTCTCCTCCAAATCTTTTGATTCTGCGAAATAATAAATAGATTGGATTTCTGAAAGGCATTCTATTGGAGTCTCCACAAAGTCCTACTCTATTAACTTCATTATGATACAGAGAGGACTTGGGGTTCTTGTAGCATATGTCAGTAGAGTGCAACTTCTCATTTGGGTTTATTGAACAGGAAAGGCCTTAACTACAGCCTCAGCAAGAGACCATTTGATCTCTGCAGACCAATTTTGAAGAGTATAGAGAAGTTTATTGCTTGCAGGCTATCCACTTAGTGATGAATCTTTGTTTATGGTAACCCATGAAACTAGAAAAAAATGTGAAATGTCTCCCTTTGGCCCCCTTAAGCTTCTGCATTTATGGTGTAATAATAGTGATAGAAATAGGGGCATATGGTCCTGAGAGTCACAGAAGTTTTTTGACAACTATAAACCTTACCTTATCTGTTAATACACTAACTGAGATCCTCGTCTGTTGAACAACATAAAACAAACTATGAGAGGAGTGGAATTATCAGTCTTGTCATTCTCATGTATGCTATGCCCTCCTTGTCTCCTCTGACATTGCTGCCACCCTGGTAGGGACCTTCATCACCTCATTCTTGGACTGTTGCAATAGACTACTGGTTGGTCTCTCTGCCTTGTGTCTTTCCCACTGCAATCCATCTTCTACTCTGATGTCAATTGAGCTTCTTAAGTCACAGGTCTGACCATGTCATTTTCACCCTCTCCTTTCTTCACCCTCCATCTCCCCATAGTTTTTAATAAACTCTACTGGCTCCCTTCCTAGTCACCTCCAGGATCAAATATTAAATCCTCTTTGGTGTTCAAAGACCTTATAAACGACTCCCCTTCTGCTTTTCCAGTCTTGTTTACTTTACCTTCACATTGTCTGTGATCTAGTGACACTGGCCTCTTTACTGTTTCTCAACACACTCTTTTTTCCTGACTGGGCATTTTTACTGGCTGATTGCTATGCCTCTATCCTTGTTTAAGACTCCTGGTTTCCCTAGTTTCCTTCAAGCCCCAGCTGAAATCACACCTTTCTACTAGAAACCTTTGTTGATTTCCCCTTAATGCTAGTCTCTTCCCACTTTTGATTATCTCTAGTTTATCCTGTGGTTATTTTCATACCATCTCCTCCTTGAAACTGAGCTTCTTGAGAGCAAGGACTGTCATTTGTCCTTTTTATTCCTAGAACTTAGCACAGTACCTGGCACATAGTAAGTACTTAACAAATTCTTGTTGACTTAGGTTAGATAACAAAAGAAAGTTGCTGCTAAATGGAAGGAAGGCTCTTAAGCCTTTCTTGGAGAGATTAATAAAGGCGTTAGGGAAATTGATTTTTATTACCCTTTTGAAGGCAATAAGAAGGTAATAAGAATTTGTGATCTCGTAAATTGTAGTGCTCAGGACAAGCATTTGCCAAAAGACCACCATGAAAATAGTGGCGTATGCAGCTATTGCAGAAGGTGAAATTGAAATATTCTTTGAAGAACTTGATAAGACCCTCCTTAGTAAAGCAGCATAGACTTTGATATTTAGTGACTTAAATGCAAAAATTAAAGATGTCAAGATGGTAAGGAATGTTGGAAAATATGATTCAAGTTATTAAAGTTTAAAATTGTACTAAGACTGCTAAGAAACCCTGTATTTCATAGTTGTGTAGAGATATGTGTTATATATGATAAGAATCCAGTAGTATGACTGAAAATTAAATTGCTTCTGTGTTAACAAACAGGAACCAGTTAGATCAAACCATTCCTGAATCATTGTCTGTATACAGTCAGACTGGTGTCTTGTTTAGCACCAAGATCAAAATTAGTACAAATCTGGAAGAATAAAAATGAGGAAAAGATCTAATGTCCAATAAAATAACTCCCGTATAGCTTATTTACACAGGTTATTGATGCCAAAAATGAGAAATGGATGGATGAAAAGTATATCAACACAATTATAAAAATTTCATTCAGAAATAATAACCAACATAAATTAACTGCTGCAACAAGAAGACCAAAGAGCCCTAAAAATGCCTTACTCGGCAGAACACTTAACTGACTTGCCAAACAGAGAGATATGGCAACTAAGGGCAATATTAATTCAGAATAGGAAGTTGTCTGTGAAATCTCATGAAGAACAATGAGAATCATGGAGGGAAAATGAGTTTAAAGAAAGTTGGGAAAGAGATACAACAAAGAAAAATCATTCTCAGGACATATAAAAATAAAACTTGAAGGAAGAAAAACAGACAAAAGATGGAGGTCTATAAACAGAAGAGGTGTTTGTTTTTAAACAACAAACTTCGTTTTCTTTCTTTTTTTTTTTTAACCATCCAGAAGAGTAGAGCACCCTTCAATTGGTATTCAGTGGTATGTACCATAGTCCTGGATGTGCTCATAGAGGAAATGAATATAAGAAAATTAAATAGAGAAAGTAGCCAGATTAGAAAAAGCATAAAAGTGTCTTCTAGAAGTAGCACAGTTTTCATAGCATCCAAAGGGGGTGATAGCAAAGATGTAGCAAAAAATATTAAGCCTTATTTACTACCTCTCAAAACAAGGAACCAAAAGAACCTTAATAATTGCCTACTTATCCCATTTTTCCTATCTGTATAAAACTTTAATGAGAATAATTGCACATGCTTTAAGAACATTCTTGGAAGTGTTAGTGGAAGGCAGGCAGGCTTTTGGATGTTGTATTCCACAATAGATTAAATTTTTACCATCACTTAACTAAAGATATAAAGAATATAAGATCACACTGCCCTTACTTTCTGACTTATAAATTTGTCTGATTAGGCAAAGACATAATAAGGTGTCTTCCCTACATATATAAACATATGATGTTCCTTAAAAGAGGAAACAGGTAACCTTGATTGATTACCCTGTGATCATTTGTATCAAGAGCTGTCTTTCTCATGAATGAAAGCAAGCACAGGGGTCAAGTTGAAGAGGAATCTCTGTAGATAGGTCCAAAAGCTTTTGTTTATATGGATGACATTGTGTTGAATGTATTAATTTCCAGAATATCACAGAGCTTCCTGAGACCGATAATCATGCAACAGAGTTTGACCAACTATCCATGAAGGGGAAAAAAAACCCATTAGATAGAACAGTGCCCATTGTCTGGACTATGGATGGGCATTTGGATGGACAACCTATATTGTTCTTTGAGCAGTATATTAAGCTTGTACAAAT